GAAACGCATATATGTAGGAAGTAGATAACAACTAACGATCGCTATATTCTAGTCTATCCCCTGTACGGATCTCCATTTCTACTCTATCCTCTATTACTATACGGACCGCTATTCTCTACTCTATATACTATACTATTTCTCTATTCAGATGACTATATGATAGTTACGATTCGAGCGAGTAATATCGAGCAAGTACTATTAGTGCCAGTGATATTCCAAGACGTCTGACAGTAGTATTATTCAACGGTGTTGCTATAGTTGTATCTGCGATTACAAAGTCTCTACTACAACGAGCATTACGAAAGTGGCAACGAGTATTCGTTGATATTGCAAGTGTCAAACGAGTGTTCGTCGATATCACGAAAAAATTGTTAATTCTCTTTCAAAGTGTGTTATTTTTGTTTTTATTTTTGTTAACTCTTCCTCTTTCCTCACATGCTCTGTCCATGGCATTCTCAGCATCCTTCTGTAGAAACTCATGTTTACTGAATCAGTTTTCTTTGCTTTTAACGGAACCTCCTTGTTCCTTATTATTTTGTTTAACCGCTAGAAAACATGTTTCGCTTTTCAAATACGCCTTCGGATTTCGTCATCTGTTAAAACTCTTCCCAGATATTTAAATTTACGTAGTTACTTGATTTTAACATTTCTAGCTCGACTCTTGGGTTTTTCCTCTTGCAGACAACCATTATGTCTTCTTAGAATTGATAGTCATTTTTGCCTGCAGTTTTCTTTCTGTGTTTGATTACAACACGTTTCCATTCTCCTATCTTATGCTCTTAAGATCGTGTCGACTAATAATAAATCCTGGTAGGAGGTCTAACTCACTGTATAAATCCGACGACGAAAGGAATTTTTGTTTTGCAAATGTGGAAATCTAGCCTGGAAAAAGATGTTAACAAGCTATGTAGTCAATCATAGCAACTCTACTGAACTGAAACTACAATCGGTGAGACACAGGCCAGCATAGCTAATTTATAATTGAATATACCTCAGTGTGGAGAAGTCACGGTTGTAGCGAGTACGATTCACACAGTGAGCTGCAAGCGTTTGGTTTTATACTGTCCTAAGACATCTCTATTCTGGCTGTCGTGTTGTGTTTACTAAATATATATGGACAGCCTCAATAGTACCTTCCATGGGCAGAAATATTTACACAGATATAAAAACGACAGGAAGAGAGCCGGTGAGGTATCAATGAAAGTTTTATATTACAGAAAGAATAGTCTAAAAACTTTAAAAATATGTTACATGCCTTCTCTCTCACCCTGAAAATTAAAGGTAGCGAATATTACAAAAATGACCTTACTCAAAATCCAGCACGTTACGTTGATATAAAGTCAGGTTTTACCTGAAATATGTTACATGCTATCTCTCTCACCCTGAATAGTAAAGGTAGCGAATATTACAAAAATATCGCTTACTCACAAATCCAGCCTGTTACGTTGATATAATGTCAGGTTTTGCCTGAAATATGTTACATGCCTTCTCTCTCACTCTGAAAAGGAAAGGTAGCGAATATTACAAAAATGACCTTACTCAAAATCCAGCACGTTACGTTGATATAAAATCAGGTTTTGCCTGAAATATGTTACATGCCTTCTCTCTCACTCCGAAAAGGAAAGGTAGCGAATATTACAAAAAATAACCTTACTCACAAATCCATATTATGTTGATATAAAGTCAGGTTTTGCCCGCGCGTTAAAGGAATATCTTCTTTCCATACCAAAACTGTTCTCTGCACGGAGTGGACTTAATTAATTAGCCGGTAAGGGTTACATGACCAGTCCAGCGCCCTGCACACTAATTAGAAAGAAAGGAAATTGAACCTCCAAAATCATCATGGGTTAATAATAGCAAAGTAACGTCAGAGGTTATTTAATGTATGAGATAAGGTAACTTAAAATTGAATAGGCTGCACTAGGTCTAATTTCACCCCCAAAAGCGAATTAATGCAAAACCTAATACATTAATCAAGAAACTCAAGTCTTGTCAGATTGAGATTTTCATATGGATGTCGTACCTGGCGCCGAAAACGTTCAGAAATATTTAAACTGTCAACTCTATCCAACCGCTTTCGCTGATCAATGCTTAAATATGGCGTTGAGTCTGCGCTACAGAATCACAAAAACGGTAAGCACCAAAATAACAGAAACATCATTTGAAGACTTTTAAATAAAGCAACAAGTAAAATGAATAGCACATGTAGCTTGAAGAGAAAATGCTGACATAATCAAGATATTGACGTTCCACACTACTTCAAACAAAAGGTTAGGAAGGAAACCTTCATCCCTATTGGGAATAGAGGAACTTTAGAAACCAGTTTTCCTGAAAAATAGTTGTACTAGAAATATTTTTAAAAAATCTACCATCAGCAGCTTCTCGGCCAATGAATGCCGAATGTTTCCTTATAAGGAAAGAGCCAATATTATCATTACCATTAATATTTAATGTGTTCTCAGCAAGGTGCTCTTAAATATGCATCCTTGTGCCAGGCTAAGGGAAATTTTGTATATATGGTAAGCAACAGGGTGCCCAGTCAAAAAGCGGCAAATTTATTATCACTGCTTTATCTTTCAGGAATAATTGACCTTGAATAATATTTTTGAATATTCATGACCTTGAATAATCATTCGACTCTCGCGTAATTACTTAACTCTGATTGGTTCTTTTATGATTGATTAATTGCTGCGAGAACTTGGGACTCGCTATTTGAAGATTACTTGCAGACAACTTTCGTCTTTCGTTCTGCTCTTCACGTATGGCTAAAACAACTCGCTGATTTTGAGTGTCAAGTCATCGTACTTTTCAAAGAAGAGGATACAACACGGAGATTGACGAAAGGTGCTGAAATTCTCTCGGAATTTTTCAGCCACATCAGTCGTTACCAGTTTTCAACGATTGTCCTACGTCCTTCTGAATTTATCGTCTTTTTACTGGACATCTTGTAGTTCCAGGGTAATTACAAAGATAGTGTCGAAGAGCACTGGGATTATTATATAGTTTTATACACAGTTTGTGCTCTCAAATTTATGACCTTTTACCAGGCTACACTAAGTCTGGGGAAATATCAGTCCTAAAAATGCTAGTAACGACATTTCCACGGTTTGCTGAACACAACACATTATCACCGCTAAAAAGCTTCTACTATTTGTCGACAAGAATTCAAATAATCGAAATCTTTTCCGCCTGCCTACGTTAGAGGAAATGTAGACATTATTTGTACACTGTTCTCTTAACAGATCAGTCTACCTTCTCTAATTACATCTGTGCGGGAGGCGACTTGTCAAAGATTGGTTTATCAGTAATGGTGTTGGGTAAACCATACAAAGGCTGGATTGGGAAAACAGATCTCCGGAATAATTTGTTAGCTTTTTTTTGTGTGCAAATAACGAAAACAATAACAAAGATTTCAAGAAATATATTTCTGCTCCTTTTTGGATGTTAAGATATTTGTTGAGATAGACACAAATGGAACAATAAATCTTTTATACATATATTATATATGGCCAAAAGATTCCAGCTATTTTTGCCAACCCCTTCGACGTACATTTAAACAGAAGGAAATCTACACTATTTATTTTATTCGGACTATTGACATCATCTTTCTTGCCATATTTATTTAACAACGTTTCGGCCGTTGCACGCTCCGGCCTTCTTCAGGTGGTATATATATATATATATATATATATATATATATATATATATATATATATATATATATATATATTCATTTCACCCCAAGCAAGGCAGGTATGCCACTAATACGCAGTGGGTTGCAGGAATGAAGCTGACAGAGAAGACTGAGAATTGAGGAAAGACAAAAAATTAAGGAGAAGCAAGAAGATTAAAGATTACGATTGACGTTGTATTTAAATTTCTGTCTATCTCAGTGTGTTCATATCTATCTATCTATCTATCTATCTCAGTCTGTTCATATCTTTTTTTCTTCGTTTTTAATCATTTCACCCCAAGAAAGGCGGGAATATCACTAGTACGGAGTGAGTTACAGAGAATTAAATTCAAAGAGAAAACTGAGAATAGGAAGGATTGAGGAAAGGACAAAAGCAAAACGGGATTCCAGAAGATAGAAGATGACGATTGATGTTGTGTTTAATGTTTTGAGTATTGTAGTTATCAGAGAAGCAAGTAAACGCGGGGAACTTCCACAGGTTGGAAGTGCGAGCAAAGAAACTGTTGGGGTAGAAGTGGTGGTTGCATTCAGCTATTTCAACAATAAAGCGGTGGGATCTAGATATCAATCTAGTAGCACGATTAAATACATATAATTGGCGCGCCAGGTAAAAAAAAAAAAACAGCTAGTCATTAAAATATTTGTAGAAAAAAGAGAGAGAAGTCACGCTATCTCGGTGAGAAAGGGACTGGGGACCAGATGCCTTGTTGGAACCGATTACATTGCAGGTCCTTCTTTGGATTTTGTCAAGCATCTTGAGATGCACGGTAGGGACACCCGGCCAGATATGGCAACAATATTCAAAGAATGACAGATTTGTAAGTGTGTAAGATGGATTTAGACGAGCAAAATTGTCTGGCACGGCACAGTGAACAAACTTTCCTTGCATCTTGAGATGCACGGTAGTAACACCAGGCCAGATATGCCAACAATATTCAAAGAATGACAGATTTGTAAGTGTGTAAGATGGATGTAGACGAGATAAATTGTCTGGCACGGCACAGTGAACAAACTTTCCTTGCAGTAGATGCAGCCAGTGATTCGATGTAGTCGCTCCACTTCATGTCAGTGGAAAACTTGTGGGCAACTAAGCGCAATGTGTTGCTCTCCTGAGAGTCAGACATGACGATGGCAGACAGAAAAGGTTCTCTGTGGTGGTTATGGAATTGAATTTAAGCAAATTTCCACAGAGGTGTAGAGAAGACTTGAGGCACCGAGATTTGGTTCTACAGAAGGATAGTGGGAATGTAATAGATGGAACATACGAGCAACAGGGAAGTTTTAAGGAGGCCGCTGAAATTTCTGCTTACGACCATTTCACGCTGAAACACGGGTCCTCGTGCGATCACCGAAGTTAAGCAACGTTGAGCTTGGTCAGTACCTAGATAGATGATATTTTGTGAATACCAGATCCTGGAAACTTGGATATACGAGAGGTGTAATGGATATCGGCTCAGAATGGAGATGAGGTATCCGAGTTCGAATTCTAGTCGAATTCGTTATATTCACTTACACGCAAATACCTTTGGAAAAGATATGAATCCATCTGTTCTTGCCATAGCACTTTTTTTTCTTTTTAAATCGGAATTCCCCCAAGCAGGTTTGGTCCCCTTAACATGCAGCATGCAAGCCCACCGGTGTATGGACACGCTCTGGTGCCCGTGTATCTGTCATGGTCCGGTTCCTTGTACCACGGTGATAGTCCAAGGTAGAACCAATAAAGAACTCGAACACAGGTATGGCATAACACAAATATATTACAAACAGGAATATATACAGAGAAGTAGAAGTGTTAGTATGAACAATCAGGTTTAGTAGGGAGAACAATGTAGTCTCGACCAGTATCACTATTCCAATGTCTTGCAGTAATTGTCTGAACGCGACTCTGTTTCGGACTGCTTCTGACTCGACTCTTGACTCGACTCGAACCACTGACGATATTCAGTCCCCCACCCCCCACTGAGGCGTCATGTGGCACAAGGCCGTTTTTAACGTGGGATTTCTGAGCCTGTGGGCTCAGCCCCAAAATATGCCCATTGAACCCGTATAAACGGGTTCAGGGCCGGTTTACCTCCCCAAAAGAGACTCCGCCGTTCGGCGTAGCCTCCTTCGGGTGCCTCCCCGTCCGGAGGCAGAGAGTTCAACCGATCAGCCGATCGACTTGAACGACGGACTCCTTGCCTACTCCTGAGGCACAGTATCTATTAAGTATGGAATAGTCCATTATTATTATTATGGGTAAGATCCCATAACAGTATCAAACCCCAGCTATGGGTTAAATAACTCCAATGCCTTGTGGAAATCTTCGGGAGAAGAAAAGGCTAAGGTTTAAACCCTACACAAATCTGGAGTGGAGCCCCTAAGGCGGATGGACGGCACTCTGTGCTACCTTCTGACAACTCCTGCAGCCGCACTGGTACCAAACTGTATTGGTTCATCCTCTTTTTTTGGACTCTGCTAGCAAGGCCGAGAGGAGAAACTAGACATCCGGACTACCCTAGTTCTCCATACACCCCACCCAGGCTCGTGGCGCACTGGAGAGGCCACTCCAGAGCGCTACTCCATCGTCTCCCGAGACGGGCGGATGACGAACCTAACCCCCAAGCAAGAAAGTAATGTTACAAAAAGATAAGAGGTTATAGGGCGTGGAAGAATTAGGAACAGAAACTTTAATGATGAGCAGAAAGAAAATCAAAAGTAATCAGGTGGACTGTAGATAGCGATTGTCATTGCATCTAATTTTTTGCATATTAAAGTTGGCTGCAACGCAAGGAGCCGGAAGTGAGTTCCACGAGCTATGGTTTCATTAGTAAAGCATATCTGTAAATCATTATTATCTCCAAAAAATTATTGGAATCTAAAAATATTTTCTGGCTTTAAATAAAGTGCAGAAGTTTGATAAGCCGTAAAAAACAAATCAAGCAATTGATGAGATGTGTGGGACGCACAATGAGAGCTTGGATAATTAGTCACTGAAGGAAATCGGGACCGAGTGAAACAGAGCTGGCGTAAATGGATGGCAGAACACGGATTGTGATGCATGATAAGTATTGCTTAGAGCTACAAATGATAGGAAGTTGTGGAAAACCGTGATCGCCCATGTTCGGTAAATTGGGCCATTTTAAACAAACCTTCATCATGACAAAATATTTTTTCAGAAAAGTGTGCATTTTTTATGCATCTTGGCATGTATCATTAGTAAAGCTTCCCTGTTTGGTTCGAATCCTCTCCATTGAGAAAACGGACAATTCGTAGAATGAAATTAGTTCAAAGATAGCACTTCAAAACGTGATGGAAGATTGATTTTAAAATTCCTATCTCTCGACTCGTTTGCCGAACCGATTTTCTTGGACTCTGATGATAAGTTTTTAGTAGCCATTCTTGCTATACGGGGATTAGCAATGCCCGCAGTCTTTCTTGTGAGCGTTCTGAGCATTTCCCTCTACTTAGACGTTATAACTAATTCGAGTGATAATAAGTCACTTGCTTGAATCTCCATCCGGAATTGTCTTCCCGTTTTTAATTACATATTCAAACATCCATTAGAAATTTAGAGTAAAATTTGCATTGTTCAAATCTTAGCCTAGCTGATATTGGAATTTCTAAGTTAAATCTGAATAGATGTAAAGATTAAGTGAATTATCAGCTCTTAAAGTGTGTATAAATCTTTGAACACACTGTTTAAACACCTACTCACAATCAAAAAACGTACACAGATGCATACACACACATACGCACCATCGCGCGTGCGCACAAAGAAGAAAAAAACAACCAATAGATAAAAGAGGGTAATATGTATACTGTAGCGTGTATATGCTGGTTTCGATATACAGTGTAACCCGGATATAAGAGACCCTGATATAAGAGAAACCCGGATTTAAAAGAGATTTTCTCTGGTCCCAAATTAGAGCCTGTGTTAATGTATATAAAATAGACCAAACCCGGATATAAAAAAGAAACCCGGATATAAGAGACTTCTTCTCCAGTCCCGACAACTCTCTTATATCCGGGATACACTGTACAAACTGTTGTTTAAATTACGCATAAGATTAAAATACCACGGACATCTCATTTTAACAGATATATTTACGAAAATTACATAAAAAGATATATTGAAATGCTAAACAGTATATACGCCATGTGTTTCAACCACGACCTTCTGCCATCTTCAGAATCTCCTGCACCTTTTCCTTGTTTAAGTTGGTGAAAACCCACAACTAACCTTAACCGATTTTTAATTTGCACTTAAATCATATTTGTATCTTGATTCCTTGGTTTTATTTCATCTTTGATGCTACAAGGAATTTTGTTGGACTCTAGCTCAACTGCGCCCCACACATAATCATCAAGGGGTTTGCAATCTGGGGAGGTAGGTGGTCAGATGTAAGTGATGATGTGGTCGCAGAACTTGTCCGACAGCCATAACTGTGTTCTCCTGTTTGTGTGGCATGACGACAAATTTCTTTGGCTAGACATAGGGTCTCCCAGCAGCCACGCACACGATCCAAGGAAGCATTACCACCTCAAGGAACTTGAGGTAGGCCACTGTGTTGAGTCTGAGACACCCCCCCCCCGCACCAAGAAATTCGGGCGTTCTTTTCTTATCAGAACGATTAGAACGAGTTTTCCTCGCTGCTGTACGTTCGTAATTAAACTCATCCTGTTCTTTCTGAATCTTCTGCACTGAAGAATCTGAAATTGAAGAGTGTTTGGGTGTCAATCTAAGAACACAAGAGTTTCCGGCAAGAATGCTATACAAAACGGCATGCTGTTTCCAAATTTCTGGCGGAGTGAATTGCATCACGGTGCTCTTTTTTCTCCCGGACAGTGCCCAACTGACCCTACTATACTGTGCAGTTCTTTTTTTTTCTTGTTTTTGTTTTCTTTTTTCTTTTGCCGACTGCACAATATATCCTGTTAACATCATGGGTTTTAGAGTTTTAATTAGAGATGGCGAAGATATACATCCAATCATCTTTTCACAGGTTTTCAAAACTCAAGATGGGCATCATTGTCCTTGATCAGATAGTGCTTTCCTGGGTCAAGAAGGTGGCTGCTGGAAGACCCTATGTCTAGCCAAAGGACTCTGCACTATGCCACACAAGCAGAAGAACCCAGTCATGGATGTCAGGCAATTTCTGCAACGACATCATTCCCACACATCTGCCCTCCTAACTCATCAAACTCAACCCTATTGATTATGTGTGGGATTCAGATAAGTGAAAACCAAAAAAAAAAAAAAACTATTTGTAACACCAATGATGAACTGAAGGCAATGATTATGTCAGCATTCAACAACTTAAACAAATAGGCCGCCCAGAAGAGTTACAGGAGATTATGAAGTCGTCCTGGGGGCCGTGGCGATTTTATTGAATAAATTTACGCTTAAGCATTTCAAGATGTTACTGTGCAATTGTGGTAAACATCTGTTAAAGTGAGATGCCAGTGTTATTTTAAATGTTGCGTCATTTAGACGACAATTTATCCATTGCACCCTGTACGTACATACATACATACATATAAGACAGGACACAGACGCCAACATCAAGAGCTGACAAGCATGGAACAACCTGTTGCAACCTTATATTGACCACAGTGTTGCCTTTTATATTCACATACGCTCTATCTCAGATACTGAGCACTTTACAGATAGATATAGCATACCTTAATATTGTATCATATATATATATATATATATATATATATATATATATATATAGAGAGAGAGAGAGAGAGAGAGAGACCAGACAGAGATAGATTTATTTTCGCAATATTCATATAATGTCATTCCGTATCATTTCCTTTTACAGTCGCCAACAATCGTGCTTTCGTTGTGGAAATGTTTATCAAGGGCATCGAATCGTTAACTGCAAAGAGCGTGGACCTGACCAATCGCTTTATTTGAACCCATAAGATTTTTTTTTCTTTGGTGATACCGGGAATCAAAGGTATACACTCATTGCCCTCGTTTTATTGAAAAAAAAATAATTGATTTTATTCGTCAAGTATTAGCTGCCATTCCACATAAAATGCCATGTCGAATTATGGAAACTTTCGTGAACGCCTTCGACAGTGTGTGTAAAGTAAACGTTTTTGGTTATAATGTGGATTTGCTTTAGTATATATATATTATATTTTATTCTTCATATTTCTGCTACACGTGTTTCTGGCCTCACGGGCACGCGCGTGAACTCAGGAAGATTGCGTGTATGCGTGTGTATGAGTGTGCGGTTGTGTATGTATGTGGGTATTTGGATATACATAAGCATATATGTGTATGCTGATTCCTTATTACAAGACAGCATGTATATATGGGGAGGGTATTTACATATGCAGTCCAACAGGTAGAGGAAGACCTCTCTCATAAACACACCTATTATCATCACCTCTCATACCAAGCCTAATTGTTTTA